TGCTTCCTTGCCAGGTCGGGGAGGTCGATGCCAATCTTCACTCCTTTGCTTGGGTCCTCGCCGAGGGGGACGAGCTTGAAGTCCCCGTCCAGAATTGGTCGGAGGGGGATTTGCTCGCTGTTGGGAGGTTCGTCCTGATCGAAACGGGTATCCAGAGCTATGGAGTCGACCTTTGGGGGAGCTCTCTGGTCTTCTGCTCTGACGGGCTCTGATTTGTCGGGCTCCTGTTGTGTCGTTGTCGGTCTCTTCGCGGGCCTTGTCCCAGTGTCGACCGTGTCACGTCCATTGGATGCGGCGTTAAAACACCTTTGAGTAGCGGCCAGGTCCCCCTTGATGGTATCAACCCGTGCCCTTTTGGTGTAGAACTTCATCTTTAAATGGACAGTGGAGGGCACCGCGGTTAGCTTTGCTAGTGTTGGTCTCCCCAGGATGCAGTTGTAGAGGGACGGGCAGTCGATGACGAGGAAGCGCACCTTGACCTGCCTCGTCGTCGTGCCTTCGCCGAAGGTAACCATGAGCTCGACATATCCCCAAGGTTTGGAGGTCGAGCCGTTGAAGCCCTGTAAGTTCGACCCCACATACGGCGAGAGGTGCGAGTCGTCTAACTGCAGGGTCCGGAATAATTGGTTGTACATCACGTCGACGGAACTTACTTCGTTGATGAGGACGCGATGTACGTAAAAGTTAGCCATTCTTGCTCTTATCAGCAGAGGAATGACCGCGTTGGGGGCTCCTCCGAGGATCTCTTCGAGGTAATAGGTGATAGGCTCCGACCTACCTTTCACCCTTTCGAAATTCACTGTCTGAGGAGGTGCCGAGTCGGCCAGTTCATCCAGCTTTCTCTTGGCCGAATTGATGGTTAGGTCGTTGAATCCTCCACCATTGATGACCATGGTGGAGGGAAAGTATTCCCACCTACTATGTGTCGTGAGTGGCTCCTGCAGGTGTTCGGGGACGTAAAAGTCCTCCGGTCTAATGACGGAGAAGGCGGTCTGGACGGGGACCGGTTCGTCAGATGGTCGGGCGTCTTCCTCCGGTTCTCTTGTCTCCCGTGCGTCGCAACGAGGAACATCGTTTCGCCGGTATTGGGCGAGCCTCCCTCCCTTGATGAGGGTTTCGATGGCGTCCTTGAGGTGGACGCAGTCTTCAGTCAGATGACCATGGCTCCTATGGTACTGACAGTATTTGCTTTTGTCTACTCCAGGCTTGGCAGGAGCAGGTCGAGGGCGCTTGACGCCGCCATCTTTAAAATCCGTGTTGGCACACTCCGCCAAGATGCGCTCGCGGGAAGCTGTGAGCGGAGTGTATTCTGTGAAACTCCCCGAGGGTCCTCTCTGCTCTCGGACTTCTCGGGGTTTGTCCTCTTTCCTTTTCTCCCCGGTTCGTCGAGGATGAGCGACTTCTTGGCGCAGGTTGCTGCTGGATCCACGAGTTCTGGGGTCCTGGGCTCTGTTGGCCGCCTCCCTTTTCTCGTAATCCATATATGCCCGGTCCTTCTCGAGGAGAGCGTCGAATGTTCGGGGTGGTTCGATGCCCACCGCCTTTCTGAATTCTGTGCCGGGGAGGAGCCCCCTCTCTAGCAAGTACCTTTTCATGTGGTCCACGCAGGGGACCTGTATGGCTTCGCGATTGAAGCGATTGATAAATTCTCTCAAGGTTTCATCCTGTCTCTGGACGATGGCCTCGAGTGCTGCCTCGGTCTTCGGGTGTCGCCGAGACGCAGTGAAAGAACTTATGAATTGATTCTTCAGGTTTTGCCATGAGGTGATTGATCCCGGGGCGAGGCCTTTATACCAATCCATTGCTGCCTTTCTGAGGGTCGTGGGAAACAACCGGCATTTGATGGGTCCCCCGACATTATGGTAGTGCAGCATAGCCTCGAACCCGTCTATGTGGTCGATTGGGTCCGCGACTCCGTCGTATTCTTTCAGATGTGGAGGCTTCTCCATGCCCAGGGGAATGGGCGCCTCCATGATGGCTTGTGAAAGGGGACCGCGAGGGTCGTCCTCGTCACTTCGCTCTGGGGATAGGGACGGGGACCTGAGATATTGTCGTGTCCGACGGTCCTGGTCGTGTTGGGTATCCCTCGAGCGGGGTGCTCGTTGGTCCATTCTCCCGTGCCTGTCTCCAGAGTGTCTTCTTTCTTTCCGTATGGGGCCATGGTTGCGCCCTCCGGCTTCAATGACGGGTTTCCTCTCCAAGGGGGGTCGTCTCCCCGACGGTCGGGGCGACAGGCTTCGGGAGGTGTCTCTGTGTTGTCTCTGCAGGGGAGATGGGAGACATACCTCTGTTACTCGAGGAGGTGGAGTCTGAGGCCTCCCGTGTCTCCTCGCGGGTCTTCTATCATCTTCTAGCGCCCTCAATCTTTCCCCCTGGGCAAAGATGAGGTAGTTGGTTTGATTGATCGCTGCAAATAGTGCACGAGTCATGGCATCTGCCCCGGCAGGGACAGGGACTTCCTGAAATTGGACAGCTAGATAGTTTAGGGGAGTCGTATTGTCTTCTTCTAGTGGCGGAGGGACTGAAGAAGATGAGGCAGTAGCTCCGTCGCGGTGGATCGAGGGCCCGGGGATGGTGCCCTCGGGGAGTGTGCTATGGCCGGGGTTGCCGGCGTTGTCAGGAATTCCGTTTTTATCCGTGAGGTTGTTGTTGACGTCGACGACGCGGACGTTCTGGTCGTCCCGAACTTGGTCAGCCATGACGGTAGGAGGTGATTTGAGCTTTGGTCTTCGAGAGTTTGCAAGACGGGAAAGCTAGTTCCCATAGACGGCGCCACTGATCTTACCTGATCAGACTTGGACCGTCACGACTGGCTCGGGCAGAGTTTGAGTGAGATGGGGGGGGGAGTACCTGCAAGATACTCCGATGCTAAAATGAGTGACAGAATGAGCAGGAAAAAAGTGTATAGATGTGTAAGAGATGAATACCTGACCCTCTGGGAATATAGCGTATTTATAGCCCCCAGCGCTGGGCCAAGGTTCCCTCATTGGGCCGACCAGAACTGGCCCAGTAAAGGAACTACTAGGTTCTACGTGTGTAGTGGGGCCCCGCACGTGGTCCCCTTCCTGGTGATGCTCTACGAAGAATGATGAGGGACGAAGATGTGGTATTTCCGGAGTTTAGATGATTCGATAACGGTCAGAGAGGGCAGATTCTGCCCTACGGGGAGAGTGCTCGAGCAGGACTCGAGCTGGCGTTCCTTTGGTTGGGGACACCTTGTGTCGCGGGCAATGGCGGGCATGGCTACAATCTGTGGTCGGGCACGTCGGTGGTGATCCGCGGGTGCGCATTCCTCGAGGATTTTTCTTGGATTAGTCCTTTATCTGCACTTTGGGCCAGGGTGGGCCTAGTCCAGAACAACATATATATTTTTTGATAGAAGGTGCATAATAGTAATTCCTAAATATACCGAATTGTGAGGTTACAAACTCATGTACTACACACACTAAAGCCTAAAGAAAATAATGCACAATAACATATGTGAGCACCCCCTTCATTTAATTAGTTTTGAATAATAGCAAATATGTGTGAAATAATGAATGAATGTTGGAAATGCTTTACCTATATGTGTGCATTGTAAAAGTACAATATACCGTGTTTAAAAAGAGTTAAGAATGTATTTTACATATAAAACACTGTTATGAGTCGACACAAAGAGCTTTGTATCGACACATACTTAAGCAAAGAATCATAAAAACAATTATACTTCAATATGAGTCGACACATCCATGCCATGCATCGACTCATAACATGTTGATGCTCCTGGAATACAATTTTCAACTTTTATGCATCAATACATAACTTCATGCATCGACACATGATATGTTGATGTCACTAGATAAAAAGTTTCAACTTTTATGCATCGATACATAACTCCATGCATCGACACATAACACGTTTTATCTTCAAAAATCAAAATTCAATTCAGTATGTGTCGATACATACGTGTTATGTATCGACTCATGTAAAATGGTTGACTCTATAATATATTGTAGTATCAGTTTGCATCGACTCATAACAACTTGCATCGACTCATTTTGTGTTGTATAACTAACATGAGTCGACTCATGCTAACATGTATCGACTCATGATGCGAATTCCTATCTCTAACTGTTTTCTGTTACACATATAAGTAAGTTTTCAGCAGCAAATCAGGTGTAACACATTATTACAATTGTGAGCATCAATTACTGAGCAACACGAAGCCTGAAAAATTCTTCATCTCAATCATCTTCTCAATCATCTTCATCATTAACAATGTGTTTCCAATTGAACTTATTTATTATGAATCTTAAGCAGATAGACATCTTTTGAGAAAATACCATTTAGATTCAACTTTAAAGAATCACTTAACAATAATTTTTATAATAGAAACGATATACATAGTATTAAAAATTTCTTTTCTTTTTTATCTAAAATCCGTTTTTAAATAATTAGTATTAATTGTCTATTCAATTTATAACCTATTAAATACATAATTATTTAATTTAGAAATTAAATATATCTTAATTAAATATTTTAATTAAAAATTATATGTGTTTGCACTTTATACTCAAGTGAAATAATATAATTAATATAAATAAGAATGATATGTTTTTATTATTATTTCAATTTCATATTAATTAAAACTATTCCATTTTATTATTTTATACTCATTGCACAAACTAACATGCAAAATAGAATCTTTAGGAATTCAATTATTCTTTTACTTAAATTATTTTTTATTATAAATAATATTATAACATTTTATATTGAAATGTTTTGGACGGAGGACAGAGAGGCAGATAAAAGGCGGGTAAAAATTGGTCAGAGAGAGCGATCGACATGAAATATCGCAACCACCCTTAACCGTCTCGTCTTCATTTCCAACTCCAAATATTCAAAATACTCTCTCTCTCTCATATGCTTCGTTTTCTTGAATCAACCATTAGCGATACCTTTCTCTGCCAAACAGAATCCACTAACAAGAACAATTTTGATTTTCTTCATTCAATTCCAAAATGCATTTCACGAATCTCGATGATACTCCAATGTTCCGTCATCAGGTTCATTCCGAATTCTTCATATTACGATCTGATGAAACAAACACTGCCGTTTTCATCCACAGTTTCTTCATTTCGTTACCAATTCTATCATTGCTATTATATTTGTATTGATTGTGAAAAATTTTGAGGATGCGAAATTATAGGTAGGTATGTTGTTTAATTTATTGATTACGAATTATTGATTGTGGATGCAGCTTCAATGCTTGGAGGAAAGTGCAGAATCATTGCGCCTCAGAAGCGTAAAGTTCTACAAAGGATGTAGAAAGTATACGTATGTTTTCATCATTTTCATTCCGTTCCTAATTTGAATTTCGCAATGTTTACACTTTTTACGCGCGATTAACAACTTGTTTAGTTTATTTCTATAAGATTCTTCTCAAATAACGGTTCGGATGAAGGTTAGAACTAAAACATGTGGAGATTTAAGGACAACTAAAATTCAATTAATAAATTTTAAAAAATTATTTTTAAGAGCTAACTCATCCAGTTTATACTAACACTTAACTTTTACTCATTCACCTCTATGGCTCTATGTGTTACAATTTGATATAAAAAACATAATGATAGCCTAAAGGTGATTTACTTGTTTCCTTTTATTGGAGGTCTTTATGTAACCTATGTAGCACTTAAATTTTATATGGTAGATGTATCTGGACACTGATACCACACTGATTCGTTCCTTTCTATTTTCTCAAATTATTAGCGGTCTTAACGTGTTAACGTCAATGTCGGATTTGGTGTTCGCGTCTGAGTCTATTTCGTAGTATATATTAAACAATTTAAAAAGGATATTGTTGTTGGAATTGCATAATTTAGTTTGTTTTTTTAAACCATTCCTTCGTTGAGTAATAAGTAACACAATGATTCTTGTTCGTGGATTGATATATCGATCAAGTGACAAAAACAAGCAAGCAAACATGCCTTCAGTGAAATACACCCTCTTACAAATGCGCGTTCAGTGAAATACACCCTCTTAAAAATGTGCCGTGTAACTGAAAAGTCTCTCTTTGTACTAACTTCTTCATGGTTTTGCCAAAATAGATCTAAAAGCCCGTGTAAAAAGTCTTAAATCACATGAGTTTGGATGTTTTCTATTTTTAAATATAAGAGAAAAATAGTTAGAACAGGGCACACAGAAAACTATTTTGTGTGTGTGAACTGTGTATGATTCTTATGGAAAAATGCTTATCATGATACTATCCACACACACACATTGTAAATACCATAATAATTAGTATCACAAGTCAAGAATTACCTTTGATCACTGACAAATGAAATAGCCAAAGTACTTGTGTTCTTAAAATTTCTCATATACCTGGTACTTTTTGACAATTTTTAGGGAAGGACTTGGAGAGGCATATGATGGGGACATCGCATTTGTGAGCTCCCTTGAAAATTTTGGAGGAGGACATAATGATCCCCATTTCGTTGCTTTGGGAGGTAAGCCATATATGTATCTCCCCCACCTATTGCCTTGTCTTAGATAACACTGATTTTCGTTCTGATATGCTTGGTAAGAAGCAATAACTAGAAATATGCTTTTATGAAGATTATCACGGGCTCTTTGATAGGCTTGAAATAACATGAAAATTAGCATAGGTATAATGATGCATATTGTTGCTAGAAGTGTATGTGTCCGAAGCTGTGCATCATACTCTAAAGCCATCAAGTAAGCTTACAAAATCACTCGGAAATATGGTTGAAATGGCTTCTGATATTCTAAAGCATGTTTTGTTTGTTTTCTCTTTGCTTGTGCTTTCTTTATCCTCGACGCTTTCTTTGAATATACACAATAATGCATTAAGTCTATTAAATTAAACTTTATCTTTGCTGTTGGTTTTAATAAATTTTATTTTGGGTACTCCCAGGACCTGTAATGAACAAATTTACCATTGCTTTGAGGGAAATCAGTACATTCAAGGAACTTCTTCGGTCGCGGGTAATGATTATCTCATGCTGGCGTTGTCTTTCTTGTTTTTTAGCAGTGTATTATTTTGGTAATTGTTGATATATTTACAAGATGTTTGTTCTAGTATAGGGGTTCCATTTTTATACTTAAACCATCTTGTTTGCAAACACAATCCTGTTTGCTCCTGGTCAAAGATTAACAAGTTATAATAAAATGGACATATGCATATCCTAAGTATTACTTGCTCTTAGAATATGAAAGTTGGACCTAACTCAACCCTATAAAATCGGTTTAAGAACCGGCTTGTAGGGTGAGAATTGCCCCCTCTTATAATAAAATGGGCATATGCATATCCTAAGTATTACTTGCTCTTAGAATGTGAAAGTTGGACTTAACTCAACCCTATAAAATCGGCTTAAAAACCGATTTGTAGGGTGAGAATTGCCCCCTCTTATATATATTGTCCGATGTAGGGTTCTTGACACCCTCTCTCACGCCCAGGATGAGTGTCTGGAGCGTGAAACTAAATGGTGGGTGGCCCGATAGTAGGTGACCCAACGGATCTTAAACGAGGCTCTGATACCATCTTAGAATGTGTGAGTTAGGCCTAACTCAACCCTACAAAATCGACTTGTAGGGTGAGAATTGTCCCCATTTATAAGCACATGCTCATGCCATATGTTGTCTGATGTGGGACTCTTAACACTTGCTACATAACCTCTTTGTGTTGTTCAGGTCCTAGTGAAGTTTTGTTTGTAGCTTTGATGATTTTGATTAGTGATAGTGAGACAAATGGGCATATGCAAATCTTAAGTATTACTTGTTACATAGCCTTTTTGATGATTTTTGGCCGGTGATAAAAAGAAAAACACGCCTAAACATTGGTGAAACTTGTGGCTTTCCACCATTTTTAATTATAAACCTTGAGTTTCCAAGGGACTTTAATTTGTTAATTAATGCTGGTTGGGATTTATTTGCACAGTAGATTAGTGGCTATTGTCCAATTGATATTGCTATGTTGACTATACTTAATATGGCTTCTTAGGTAGAACACATGATTGATGACCGGTTACTACAAATTGTCAATGTTGACATCAATGAAGTTAAGGTATGCTTTTAGATTCTTTTTAATGTTTATGCCTAGCAGTGTTTGTTCTCGACATTAAGCCTGTGGAACGTTAAGGTGTCATACTTTATAATATGGCCTAGCTCCAGTTGATTCTCTAGTGGATCTATTTACGTAATGATAAAGAAGTATGACGCTTCCCTTCCTCTCTCAAGTTGTTATTGTACAACTCTAGATATTGGACAAGTTTTTTCAACTGTATTTAACATAATGTGGTATCTCACATAAAACGAAATTACCATATTCAGTTCTCCTATTACAATGGGATAGATAACTAATTTGTGCAGCAAGAAACTCCTTAAATAATCAATGAATTCAGGAGCACATAAGCTTATGGAAAAGAGTACACGAAATAGTTTAACTCATTCTTTTTTAATATAGATCAATCTATGAAGTAATATATAGATCAATCTAGAGAGCATGAGATACACATAATTTCTTACAAATATGTCGATCGCATTTAAGGGCGAGAATGAAAAATTATAGGTCAAACCGTCAAAAGAGATTTAGAGGTAAGCACACATCTCTAAAATAAATACATGATAGGGAATTATGTTGTTTGATCAGAGTTATACTATAGCTCAAAACCATAGAATGTTCCCAGGTACTTATTGTGCAATCCAAAATCTTTTGGATTTAAGGTAAATCCATTAATAACTCATTAAGGTTTCTTATTGCCCTAATAGCTTGAGACACTTGGTTATAAGTAAAGGCACAACTAGATTAAGCACTTGCAAAATTTCACTATGATGATCTTTACCTTTCAGATACCCCAGATCTGGAATATATTTTTGCTTATAATTTGAATCCTAAGCACTCCTTACAATTGGATGAAGGAACAAAGTGTTGTGTATGGCTCATATTTACTGATAAGTGGGCAGTCGCTCAAGCATAACAAAGCAAAGAAAGTGGAGTTGAATGCACAACAAGGGGAGTGGAGCGCAGCGGAGCAAGGGATAAACTAGTAAACTGGACCGTAGTATTTAAACTCATTGTAATTTGTAACCCTAAGCTCACTTAATAGAAATCACTATAGCTACTCAGCAGTCGAAGACATCCCGTGATCAATCGGTTGTGTTCTTATGTGCGTTTTTATCCATTTTCTTTAGATCCGTATTTGCTGTTCAAACATCTAGCTAATATTATTTTGGGGGAACTATCACTATCATAAGACCATTCCTAGTGAAGATTATCACTGTTACCACTCTTTAGCCTGAGTTTTAATAACAATTGTGAAAAATAGGAATAAATTTTTTTCTGAATATGTTTGAGTGAGTAAAACACTCAGCAACCTTGATATTTATACACACTATATAATTAATTACATATTATGTTTACAAGGAGAAATAAATAATAGTCCAACTCCCTAAATGCATGAATCAAAATATACATGAACCTAAAAATTAAATGCTCATTTTAGTGGGAAACATACAATTTATTTATTTTATTTCCAACACTCCCCCTCAAGCTGGTGAATAAGTATTCTCCATTCCCAACTTGAATACAATTCGTTCAAAATTAGTGCTACTCAATCCTTTAGTGAGAATATCTGCAAGTTGCCCTTGTGAGGACACATATGGGGTGCAAATCAGTCCACTTTCAAGCTTCTCCTTAATGAAATGTCTATCAACCTCAATATGCTTAGTTCGATCATGTTGAACTGAATTATGTGTTATACTGATAGATGACTTATTATCACACTAGAGCTTCATGGGTCCTTCCCATTTGATTTTCAAATCTTCTAAAATAATTTTGAACCAAAGTAATTCACAAATGCCTTGTGCCATGGTTCAAAATTTAGCTTCTGCACTAGAACGGGCTACTGCATTTTACTTCTTACTCCTTCAAGTCACAAGATTTCCTCCAAGAAAGGTGCAGTGCCCTATAGTGGATCTTCTATCAACAATTGAACCTGCATAATTTGCATCAGTGTAGGCCTCAAGGGTTGTATTTCCATTTTTTTTTGAATAAAATTCCTCTTCCTGGAGTCCCCTTAAGATACTGTAGGATTCTATGAACTGCTTGTAAATGGTTTTCTTTAGGACAGTGCATGAACTGACTAACCATACTTACAGCATATGCAATATCGGGTCTAGTGTGAGACAAGTAAATTAATCTCCCAACTAGACGTTGATACATTTCTTTATCTGCTGCAACATCTTCTTCAATATTACTCAGTTTAAGATTTGGATCGCTCGCAGGTTTACACGTTGTTTTTCCTGTATCTTGAGTAAATCTGTAATGTATTTTTGTTGACATATAAAAATTCCTTTTAGGGAATGTGTCACCTCGATTCCCAAGAAGTTCTTCAGCTTTCCAAGAGTTTTTATTTCAAACTCCTTAGCCAAACACTGACTCAAGATTTGTTGCTCCTTCCAATCATCTCCTGTCATTATAATGTCATCCACATATACTAACATAATTGTTACTCCCCATTGTGGCGAGTGTTTGATAAACAAGGTGTGATCCCATTGACTTTGCTTGTACCCCAAAGATATAACCTTAGTGAATCTTCCAAACCATGCTCGCGGTGATTGTTTTATACCATATAACACCTTTTTCAACCTACAAGTTGTATTGTCAGACACATTTTTTTCATACCCCAGTGGTACCTGCATATAAATCTCCTCTTCGAGTTCTCCATGTAAGAAGGCATTCTTCACATCAAATTGTTGTAAATCCCAACCATAATTGACAGCAAGTGACAAAATTACTCTCACTGTATTCATCTCCGCAACCGGAGCAAATGTCTCTGAATAGTCAATTCCACAGGTTTGTGTAAACCCTTTGGCAACCAACCTGGCTTTATATCTTTTGATTTATCCATCAGCCCTATATTTTACTGTGTATACCCATTTGCATCCAACCGGCCTATTTTCTCCTGGTAAAGTCACTAACTCCCAAGTTCCATTCTTCTTCAATGCGTCCATTTCGATATTCATGGCTTGCTTCCATTTTTCATCAGACAATGCCTCAGAAAAATTAGTAGGTATGGAAGTAGCATTTAGGTTTGTAAGGAAGGCTCTATGGGTAGGTGAGAATTTTTAAAAAGAAAGATAGTTTGAAAGGGGATAAAAAGGCTGTTTGGTGCATTTTCTGGTACCTTTTCTAATAGCAATTGGAAGGTCTAGGTCATCATCTATTGTTTGGGTCATCATTTTATCTTGTAATTCAAAAGAATTAATTACCTCATTCGAAGGTGTCGAGTGTCGAGTCAGACTCTTGAACTTGTGTCGATTCAGGAATGACCTTTGACTTTCTCATGTAAAACAAATTCTTTCCATATCTTACATCCCAGCAAGTGGTGTATTTGATTGATGTGACTCAACTCTTAGTTCTTCAGCCTCAGATGGGTCTGGTACAAGTGTGTTTAACTCAGGACCAGAAAGATTGGGTCTATTTGACTCTAAACTGGAAGAATTAGGTGGATTTGACTCGAGACCAGAGAGATTAAGTGTATTTGACTCATGACTAGAATGACCAGATGTATTTGACTTAATATTAGACAGATTCAGTGTAAATGACTCAAGACCAGAAAGATCGAGATTTTCAAGCTTATCTTCCTTAAAATTCTCCCCCTGAATATAAGGTTGAGTGAAGTACGATTCCTCCTCATGAAAGGTAACATCCCGCGACACGAAAAACTTTTCAGTTGGAGGATGTAAACACTTATATCCCTTTTGAGTAGAGGAAGACCCGACAAAAACACATCTTAGGGCTCTAGGGTCGAGTTTTTTTTTTGTCTTGACTATGCACATGGACAAATGAGACACACCCAAAGATTCTAGGTTTAAGATTACTACTTACTGACAAATTTGGATAGAAGGAAGAAAAAACATCCATAGGACTCTTGAACCCTAATACTCTAGAGGGTAATCGATTAATAAGATATGTACTAGTGCGAAAAACCTCCTCCCATAAATATTTTGAAACATTTTGATGAAACAATAGTGCTCGGGTTTGGTCTAATAGATGCCCATTTTTCCTTTCTGCAATTCCGTTTTGTTGTGGTGTTTTAACACAAGAAGACTCATGGACAATTCCCTTTTTTTGACAGAAAGAAGTAAGAACATGATTGAAGTACTCTTTTCCATTATCAGACCTAGGCCTTTTGATGTTTACTCCAAATTGATTTTTAATCATGTAGAAAAACTTTGGGAAAACAATACTGACGTCAGACTTGTTTTGGAGTAAAAACACCCAAGTAACCCGGGTACAATCGTCTATAAAAGTAACAAACCACCTAGTACCCGTTACATTTGGATTGGTTGAGGGACCCCAAACATCTGAAAGAATAAGATAAAAGGGGGAAAGGCTTCTTTTGTTGTTTAATGGAAAAGGTGAATGCTTATGTTTAACAAACTCGCACACATCACAATGAAGATTTTCAATATCTACCTTATTTAATAAAGATGGAAACAAAACTTTAATGATTCCAAAAGAAGGATGACCTAATCGACAATGGAAAAAAATATTTTTTTCCTTTTTAGAGAGTATTGACTCTGACATAAATGAGTGGACAAGTGACCTTTTGTACACTAAACTGGTTCTTCAAGATAGTAAAGGCCATTCTTTTCTCTAGCACGTCCAATCGTCTTTCCCGACTCCTTATCCTGAAATATACAACAATCATTATGAAAAGTAACACTACAGGATAAATCATTTGTAAGTTTTTGTATGGAGACAAGGTTCATGGATAGTTTTAAAACATGGAGGATCCTTTTTAGGGTTATAGAATGATTTATTTGGATATCTCCAATGCCTGCTACAGTTACAAGAGTACCATCTGCATTAGAAATCTTTTTATTACTGGAACAAGGGGAATATGTGGAGAATTGTTTCGAAAAGGGTGTCATGTGGTCTGTGGCTCCTGAATCTAATATCCAAAATAAACAAGAAGGTGTTTCTGAGACATGAAATCCAAATGAGAGTGAAAACTTACCAGAATACGCTACACTGCAATTACCTGATGACTTTTCCATACTATTGATCATGAAGGAGCAACAACCAAATCTTTATGTATAAGATGCCAAAGAAAACAAGATTCGATGAAGAAATCAACCCTGAAAATATAGGGACAGCGGCTGGAACTGTGCAGAAAGCGGCTGAAATAGCGGTTGAAACTGTGCAGGCAGCGGCTGAAAAATGTGTAGAGCGGTACCGATGGCTGCAGAAAACTGTACGGACAACTACCAGAAAAGTATAGATAGCGTTTAATTGGAAAAAACTTGACAACAAGTATTGTCCAGTCAAGATTGAAGTGTTCTGACAGCATAAAAATGTCCAATCAGATTTCTAAAGAGTGATTAGCGGAAGTAGAGTCCCCTAGATCAGGAGCTCTGATGCCATGTGAAAAATAGGAATAATAAATTCTCTGAATGTGCTTGAGTGAGTAAAACACTGAGCAACATTGGTATTTTATACACACTATATAATTAATTATATATTATGTTTACAAGGAGAAATAAATAATAGTCCAACTCCTTAAATGCATGAATATACATGAACCTAAGACTTAAATGCTCATTTTAGTGGGAAACATACAATTTATTTTTTCTATTTCCGACAACAATGATACATTCATATTTCACCTTCGTATGACTGGAAGTAGTATAACTTCTATTTTCTCCTAATATTTCAAACAACGCTTGCAGGAAGCTCGTAAGCGTTTTGACAAAGCTGCCCTTATATATGACCAGGTACTTCTCACTGAAAAGATTTCAGAGGGTGGTTAACTCTGAATCCATAGATTTACTTTCCTTCGGTTACATGTGTTTAGTTTGAGCTGTATTGTTTACTGAATCAGAAACCCATTTTGATGAATTTGCAATTTTCTTTTATGGTATAATCAACTGCTCACACGATTCATGGAGTTGTTACTTTAGGAAATTTCTAGCATTTATGTTTAATTTGAGTTTGCAGTACTTCTGAAGGAGTATGATGAATGTGTTTGTGTCTGTGTGTAGTGTAGTGATGCTGAAAGGTCACCCACATACTTCTATATTATAACACAAGCAATGTGGATTTTGTGATACAGGCACGTGAAAAGTTTATGTCATTGAGAAAAAGCACTAAGATTGATATTGCCACTGTCGTAGAAGAGGTATTTCCAGTAGCTTTTCTATAGCATTTTTTATTCATAAGTTAATCTAATAGCTTGTTTGAGTTACTGTTGTCCTTTTGAATCTAATTTGGTATAGTGACATTCCAGGAACTGAAGATTGCAAGAACGTCGTTTGAGGAAGCACGATTCAGTCTGGTATTGTAATAGCACAGGAAATGCTCCTCATGATAAAATGTGTATATCATTGGGTCTAAATTACATAACATATTTCACCATCTAGGTTGGTGCTCTTAATAACATTGAGGTCAAGAAGAGATTTGAGTTTGTGGAGGTTGTCACTGGAATTATGGACGCCCATCTTCGATACTTTCAACAGGTACATGACATTAACATAAATGACTCTTTTCCATATGTAGTAGTGCACTTATGCTATATCTGGAAATTATTTCTCTCGCAGGGAAATCACCTACTACAACAGATGGAACCTTTCATTATTGAGGTTTTGCTCCCAGCTCTATTTTTTCTTGATAGTACACAGTTCTTTCAACTGAAAGTTATATTTTCTAAAATTATAAACCAAGGGGAGTCAAGCAGCTGAAACATTGTTAATTTATCTACCATCTGAACATTGGGTTAGTAACTTAGTTATAACATGTTTAAAATTACTAGTGTAGCCTAGTTCAAAACACAAAACCTTGAACCATTGGTGGGATCATCCAGATGTGAAACTGCCAGTTATCCTCAGTGACATGTTTGCTTCCAAGCACATATTAAAGACTGGCTTGAAATGTTGATTGGTGTTTCAATATGTTAACTTAGTGAAATATTTTCTTTCCTGTCTACAAGGCACCATTATTTATTCTCTTAGAAATCATTTCGTATAGCATTAATTAAAAACTTATGATCAATTTAGTGGATAAAATGAGAAACTATAAGACCTGATATTGATAGTCTTTCATGTGAACCACAATACTGGTCTAAGTGTGGGCATTAGCAACTGTGAAATTTGTGAACCATTTTTTTCCCAACTTGGTCTTTAAGAACTTCGAAGTAAGGTTTAATACCTAAATATCTGACTAAGAAAGCTATGTTGCAGGTTTTGGATTATGTACAACAGTCAAAAGAAAGTTTCGATAAGGACCAGCTTTTACTTTTTAAAAGAATGCAAGAACACAAAAAACAAGTTTATCAAGAAAGTAGGCTGTCCTTGAATGGCCCTTACGGTTCTCCTAGTGGAGAATCTGTTCATCCTTTTTCTAGGATATCAAATGAAGTAGTAGATGTAGTAAGCGAATCTGCAGCAAATGGAAAGGTATACTAGAATATATTTCCCTCCTTCTCTGAGAATATGCTGTACTTCATTTTACAACTTTTCAATTTCAACTCCTGTTACTGGCCAAAACAATGTTGAGTCCTGTTCATTTTCATTTGTTCATCTTGTGCACAAAGTTTAGGTTCAAATCATTCGACAAGGATATCTTTCGAAGCGATCTTCCAATTTGAGAGGTGACTGGAAAAGAAGATATTTTATTCTTGATAGTCGAGGAATGTTGTACTACTACCGCAAACCATGTAGCGTGTCATATGTAAGTCACCAACTATACTCAAATTTTAACACACTAAGCAAGATGATGTGCATTCTGATTAAATGCTGAGCATTCTGTTTCAGGGCAGCAATCAATTATCTCCAAGGAAGAATAGTGTCACGGATAATGGTTCTGGGCTTCTGAGCCGATGGCTTTCTTCTCATTACCATGGGGGCGTCCATGATGAAAAATCTGTAGCACGTCATACAGTAAATCTGCTAACGTCAACAATCAAGGTTGATGCTGATCAGTCAGATTTAAGATTTTGCTTCAGAATAATTTCACCATCGAAGAACTATACATTGCAGGTATTTATTCTTAAAATTTATCAATGCGTAGTTGGGCCTTTATTAGTACTTATATGACACTAAGGAAATCAATCCAGGCAGAAAATGCAGTGGACCAGATGGAATGGATGGAAAAGATAAATGGAGTAATTGCCTCCTTGTTGAGTATCCAGACACTAGGATCAGTACGTAATAGATTGATTTTATATAAAATGCATCTTTTGTTCTCCCTACTAATTTTGATTGCTATGGTTGTAAATAATTATATGACAGCCTCTATCAGCTGACTCAGAAAACAGCCACTCTTACTTTACCAATAAGAGTAATGTGCTAGAAAGTTCTCCAGATGATGATCTCACTGAGCTTGAAAAGGCCGCCTCCAAGAATTTCACTCCTAGTAACCATTTACATTCATCTAAAAGTATGCAGTTTCCTAAACACAGTATAAGAAATGAAAAACCTATTGATGTTCTTAGAAAGGTGAGCGGGAATGACAAATGTGCTGATTGTGGTAGACCTGAGCCAGATTGGGCATCTTTAAACCTTGGCATCCTTATATGCATTGAATGCTCTGGTGTTCATCGTAATCTTGGTGTGCATATATCTAAAGTAAGTATTTGAGGTCAGACATTAATCTTAGCTTTCAATGTCTTAGATGATTTATATCTAGTCAAATTTTACCGAATAAAAACTAAAACAAGGTTGAAGGACCTCTGACCTGCTAGCTAACAATGGTTACTCTTCAATGTATGTATGCATGCATGCATGCATATGTACGTGATAGGATTCAATTTAGCATACAAAGAATTTTAGAAGAATAATAGATGAAATTGATGATAAACACTGTTATATTGAAGAAAACAGTAGAATTAAGGTTACAGTGTGTTAAACAAGATTAAAAATTACAGAATGCAGTAACAAAGCTAGGCAATTCGAGAAGCCTATAATCTCCCAAGGATAATGACCCAAATCCAATCTGCCTCACTCAATACACATTCCTTGCCTTTTATTTTCCTAATAGATCAATTTTCTCTCACATCATCCCACTCAGCAGTCAGTCACTAGTGCTCACGTGGATCCCCTACTTTGCCCCTTTTTTCTTTCTCACATACACCCTACCATATCTATTAATACCCTCCCCATCACAACTCTCTTTATCCTCAAGGAAGAATTCTGGTAATTCCTTTCTGACTTTGTCCACTAGCTTCTGTGAGTTTTCAAAGTCAGGAAGCCCCTTCCATCTATGAAGCACAAACACCTCTAGGAGTAGGTGTGTCACGGTGTCCGACATGCGTCCTTGTCCCACACTTATATGACACCCATACAACAGATGTCGGAAAAGTCAGACAAGTGTCAAAAAAATGTCTCTAATTAAGTGAGTAATTTTCTTTACTTCGACACTTTTAAATCGCTGTCCAACACCTGTATGACACTCATACAACACATGTCGGACAATTTAGAAAAGTGCTTAATTGTTTTTTTTTCTTTCCTTCAACATACCTTATATATTTGTTTAGACAAATCTCACCTACATTTAAAAGGATTTATCATGTCTTGAAGCAACAATAATTTTTATTAGGATATTTTTAACTTTTAATTATAGATAGATCAATGAAGTTCATATACTATCATATATGTAGCAGTGTCGGTGTCCTATGCTTTTGACATTATCGGTGTCGGAGTGTCCGTTTCGTGTCTCGATATCCGTGTCAATGTCTATGCTTCAATTAACCAACACCTCGACCTATCCCTGCTCATTTCTTCTAGTGTCTCTAGCTCCTTCTGGAATAGGTTCGAACTGCTCATTCAAACACTCGGGTAAAGGCTGAAAGCCCACAGTAGGCGACATAGACTTCTTCAAAAGGGATGCATGAAACACCGAGTGCACCTAGCTGTCAGCTGGGAGTAGAGTTGTTAAATGGGCCGGCCCGGGCCAGACCGCTTCGGCCCAGTGGACCAAAATGTTTAAATGGTCTGGTCCGACCCGATTGCTTAGTGAGCTATAGAAAATGAGCCTGACCCGTTTTTCAAAGGCCAGTGCGGCCTGATGGACCAGCCCGACCCGTATTTCAATGTTATAGTTTTAATTTTATAAAAAAGGATGTAATGGATTAAAGCTACATAACATAACTAAAGTCATCATAAACTTAGTTAAGTGAAGTTTAAAATATTCGTCAAATCAACACACACATATATATATATATATATATATATATATATATATATATATATATATATATATATATATATATATATATACCACAAAAACATCCATGTAAAAGTATAGAGTAAGTTAATATTATCACCGATACTTATCAATTTTTCTCTTCATCTCACAACCATTTCCTTGATCACATCATCTTGAAAATATATCTTCATCCTCTTTAACTTTTCTTTATCACTTGAAAACACACTTATACAATCATATCTTATCTCAATTTTTTTTCCTCCAAAATTTACCAAAATCTTTTCTTAATGGGCCAGTCCAAAACCCGTTTGGTCCGGCCCGGCCCATGAAAAACATAGGCCCGATGTGCTGGCCCAAGAAGTTAAGGTCGTGATTTTTTAAGGTATTTTACGGTCTGGCTCGAACTAAATTATTGACCGGTTCCATTTTGACAGCTCTAGCTGGGAGTTTCAGTTTGTAGGCTACTGGTCCTACCTTTTGTTCTACTTCTTAGGGTATCTTGGGCTTAGCTTCTGGTTGACCCTCTTGGCTAGACTCTTCATTTATAAGGCCATATGTTCCAAAAAAAACCATGTCTTCTACCATATAGTCCACATCTTATTGGGAAAATTTCTAAGATTTATACCGCACAGAATTTTAGAACAGATAAATAACATACTTTTAGAATTTTAGAACTAGTTTAGTATCTTCCAAGAATTCGAGAGTCTTGAATCTCTCGCTTCCCAAATATTCTAGAGTTGAGTCTCTCTTAATAACCACTCAATACAAAATTAATAAAATATAATTGCCCCCAATTATATAATTGCTAATAAAAGCTCCTAATTAATATAATAATTGCCACTTTAAAACATAAATACTACTAAATAAAAAGTCTAACAATACTCCTCCCTAAAGTTTCACCTTTCAAGGTGAAAGAAATAAGAGGAAATGTATCCTCTGAATCCCATAACACACACGAAGCAGAAAGATTGAGTTGTAGGAAAAACTCCTCAGATCAAATTTGCTCACTGCTGTCGTGCTCTCGTGAACAATTGTTGTGACTAAGGTGTTACCGGTTGTGGAACTTTCTTGTTCCTAGACTTTATCTTAGAAATAAGCAAAAACCTTGTAAGACTCAATATCTGGTGATTTCACAATGGTGGTTGTTGGTCCAATCATTCTGGTGGTGGCCTCTCATTTGGTTCTTCATTCTCTATTGAATCAATTTCTGACTCAAATTTCTTGAGAATTGCCTCCTTAAAATTTCCCCATGATTGACCGAAATCCATAATTAGTACCATCTGATTTGTTTCCCTTATTCTAGGAACAAACTAATTCTTATTCACACCCCCTTCAAATTGATGTTGTTGGTCGGTGGACATTAATTTGCTAACAAGAAACTGATGACATGGACGCAGAACAACCTTGGTAAGAATATCTGCAACCTGCAAGTGAGTACTGACACGAGGAAGTGAAATTTGTCGGTCATCATACGTGTCACGGATTGAATGACAATCAACTTCAATATGTTTCGTGCGTTCATGAAAAACTGAATTCGCAACGATTTGGATGACACTTGTATTTTCCGCATAAAGTGAAGTTGGTTCTATTTGAGGAAATCAAAGTTCAGCCAAAAGACCATGAAGCCAAATTATTTCAGAACAAGCAGTAGACATGGCATGATACTTAGATTTAGTAGAAGATTTAGAGACTTGTTTCTTACTTTTCCAAGATATCAATGAAGAGCCAAGAAACATGCACCAACAAGTGACAAATCACCGAGTATCAGGACATTCTGCCCAATCGGCATCACTATAAGCACTCAATTTAGGAGCAATTCCAGTGGAAAAGAATAAACTCCGATGAGAGCTTCCCTTCAAGTAGCGAATTATGCGACAAACTGCTGTCAAGTGAAGATGGCGAGGAGAGTGCATGAATTGACTTACTTGTTGAACAACATAAGATATGTCAGGGCGTGTAATAGTCAAGTAAGTAAGGCTACCCATGAGTTGACGATACAATAAGGGATCAAGCAAGAGATCACCATCATCACAATGATATTTAACATTAACCTCAAGAGGAGTATCCACTGGATTAGCCGATTGAAGACTAGCCATAGAAATTAAATTTGTGGCATACTTATGTTGATGGAGGAATATGCCCTTGGATGTAGAATGAACCTCAAGACCAAGAAAGTAATGCAAATTACCCAGATCATTCATATGAAACGATGCTTGTAACTGTTGTGTAAGGCTTTAAATCGAAGCATGATCAGAATCAGTAATAATCATATCATCAACATACAGAAGAAGTAGGACAATTCCAGTAGACGTTCTATGAATGAGTAGAGAAGAATCATATTGACTATGAGTAAAGGAGAATCCAAGTAGAGTTGAGCGAAAACTTTCATACCATGCTCTAGGTGCTTGTTTCAAACTGTATAAGGAGCGTTTGAGCTTGCACACACCCTTAGATGACGAGAATAAACCTTAAGGAAGAGTCATATAAGTATCTTCTGTCAGATCACCATGAAGAAAAACATTTTTCACATCCATTTGATGAAGAAACTACCCGTTAGAAGTAGCTATGGAGAGTAATGTACGAACATATGTCATTTTGGCAACCGGTGCAAATGTCTCATCATAATCAATTCCATATTCCTGCTTATTTTCTAAAGCAACCAATCGAGCCTTGAAACGGTTGAGAGACCCATCAGAATTCAGTTTCACAGAATACACCCATTTGCAGCCTATGGATTTGATATCAGGGGGACAAGAGACAACATCCCATGTAAAACTCGTTTGAAGAGCCTAAAGTTCCTCATTCACTGCTTTTATCCAGCGCACGTCTTTAACAGCTTGTGCATAACAAGTAGGAATATATATGTTAGATAGTGAGGCAGTCAGAGAAGTATGTGAGGAATCATACCTGTCTGGTGAATATCTATATGGTGCTTTAGATATTCGACTAGAACGTCGTTGTTCAACAGGTTCAGGATCAGGTGCCAGATCTGTGTCGGGAGGGGCAGTGGGAACCAGTTTTCTGCGTTGTCTGACATATGTGATTCCTGGTTTGTAACGTTCTATAGATCGATGCATAACAGAAAAATTAGGAAGAATAGAAATTTCATTTGTGGCAGGAGAAAGAGAATGAAACATAAATTGATTATAAAAAAATGTAACATTCCTAAAAACTCGAAAGCGATGATTATAAACTTCATAACACACAAAACCCTTATGAGAGTTGCTATACCCCATAAATGCACATTGAATAGACTGTGCTCCAGGCTTATTTCGCTCAAACTGAGGTAAGTGAACAAAACACACATCAAAAAGTATGTAAATCACTACAATCAGGCTGAGTTTTAAAAAGACGAAAGAAAGGAAAATCTAAATCAATAACCGTAGAAGGAAGACGATTGATCAAGAGTACGACTGTGGAAAGAGCCTCTACCCTTTTTGTTGAAGGTACTCCTGAAACTCATGAGACATATACTCACCTCCAGAGTCAGATCGAAAAATTTTCACACTTGCTTGAATTGAATTTCAACATATGTCAAAAACTTCTTAAAAATAGAAAACACTTCAGACTTAGATCGAAGAAAATATATCCAAGTAAACGACTGTAGTCATCAATAAATGTGACAATATTTATAGTGAACATGAGATGTTGTAGGAGACATTCCCCACACATCACTATGAATCATCTCAAAACAAGTGGAGACACGATGAACACCTGACGGAAAAGGAAGTGTTTTACTTTTAGCCAATTTACAAACAAAATATGAAATAGAAGTAGTACAAACATGTTTAATTCCCAACAAATCAGTTTTAAATAAATGAGACAAAACAACAGAATTTGGATGACCCAATTTTCTATATCAATCCTCATAAGAGTTCAAAACACTATTACTAGCAACAGATAAATGACTAGAGCTAAACTGGAGCGGAAACAATCATCCCACTTTAGGCCCCTTCGCGATCACCTTCTCCGACACCTGCTTCTGCACAAGACAACTAACATGAGAAAAATTAATATTATAATTGTTATCCACCAATTGACCAACCGACAATAAGTTGGAAGCAAGTCCGGGTGATACAAGCACGTCATGGAAGTTAGAGTTTATGTCACCAACATCAGTGATAGTGAGTTTATTACCATCAGCAATTTGAATTGGCTGATTACCATTATAAGAATATAAATTGCGCAAGTATTCAGAGGAGCCCGTCATGTGATTGGATGCACCAGAATCAAGAAACCACGGTTGAGAAACATTAGAAGACTTACCCTGAATTCTCAAGGCTGAAAGAGCAGAAAGTACCATTTGTTGAATCATTTCAGATTGTAGAACACTGTCATTAGATGTACAGTACTGAGAGGACCAACTGTAGAGTTGGAAGGGGCATGGAATGCCAGGGCTGGACGTTGTGCTGGTCACGGAGGACGCGTGGCACAGTCAAAGATGATATGACCCTGTTGTTTACGATAGTTGCAAAACTTCTTATTGCAGCTGCGAGTAAAATGTCCAAATTGTTTGCAAGAAAATCATTGGACTTGTCGCATATCATGACCCTTTCCTCTACTCTGAGCAGCATATGCAATTGCCACAGGTTCGGAACTGACAACATCATGAGACATGGTTCCTTGAGTAAGGAGACGTTGTTCTTCCATGAGAAGTTCATCAACACAAGTATCCAAAGAAGAAACGGGATTCCTATTTAGCCAAGCACCTCCGACAACCTCAAATTTTGGACGAAGTTTCATGTGAAATTGATCTCGCCCACTGGTGTTGTAAACCTCTTGAACAACCGCGAGAGAGGTCTTGGGAACCTTAGTATGTATAATAGCAGAGTATTCTGTCCAAAGATTTAAAAAACCAGAATAGTATTCTTGAATAGACAAATCACCTTGTTTGTAGTTGACGATGTTTAGTTCCAATTAAAAACGTTTTGCCGAATTGTCTTGGTTGTAAATGCGCTTCAAATAATTCCGCATTTCCTAAGCAGTTGAAAAAGAGCGCAAGTTATTGATCATCTGAGGATCAAATACTATTGAGAATCCAAATGATGATTTGAACATCTTTAGTTTCTCACTTATCTAAAACAGTTTTCTCCATCGGTGCCTTAAAAACATCATCTAGATGACTCCATAATCTCTTTCTTTAACATACATCTTGAATTGAAATTTTCATGCAGAACAATTCTTACCAATAAAAGATACACAAAAATTCTTCTCATTTTCTATGGTATTGTTGCAATAACACCTTTACTCTAAAGAATAGAAAAAAAACTGTGCAACAAATAAGTTGTGAAACCCAAAACCTAACTTCACCGTACCACCGCCTTAATGTAACTCTTTGCATATTTTTTTAATAACAGCAACAATAGAATACGTATGACACTAGTAACCACAAATCCACGAACAGTGAAGCCACGAACCGTTGTGAAACCAAAAAAACCACGAGCGATCGAAACACAGAACCTTCACCGAAAAATTCAATCGCAAGCAAACAAGAATCAAATGCGATAAACACCGCAATAACAATGACGAAATCACGAGAAGGCAACCGAAAACTTTCGATTGATAAGAGAAGCGATTTCGAGGCAAAGGGAAACGAAGAACACGATAGCGATCCAGTGGGGTGTTGCTGTTCAGCCAAAAAAGATTCACAGATTTGATCAAAACCTTATCATACCATGTCTTTTTCATTGTTATTTCTTTTATATATATAAATTACATGGTGGTTATACAGTTGATTACACTAATAATTATATTTAATAAGAATAAATTAATTTCTGATTTGTTTCCTTTAATATAGTAACAAAACCTTTATTTCTTATTCTACAAACAGACTAATCTTATTCACACTGCACTCGTCCACTGCGCAACTTTTTGTATTTGATCTTCTTTTACATATATCTCCTGCATCAAAATATTTCTCAACCTTGATCATCCATCCACTAACATTCCTTTCTTCAAAGATTGGTATTTCTAGTCATAAGTTTTTGAGTTCTCTTTTTCAATCTCTAACTTCTTTCAACACTTCATCAAGGTCAAATATTCCTTTCATTCTTGATGATAACTCCATTTTTTTCTTCTCTTTTTTCTTTATTTCCTCTCCCTGGATAGAAACTGGTTCTTTACAAAATATAATTGACAAAATTTCTGATATTTATTGGTACAAACATAATTTTAGTACATATATATAAATATCACGCACTTATTGAAATTTAGGATCAATTTGGTTTGTTCCAAAAGTTCGAGTCTTCTCACTTACCAAATGTTCGTGAGTTGGGTCTCTTTCAATAACCATCAATAACTTTAACTTCCCTTATTTATTCTAAACATGAACACAAAATTAATAAAATGTAACTGTCCCTAATTTTATAATAACTGCCACTAATTACTCCAAACTAATATAATAATTGTCACTTAAAAACATAACTGCAAGCAAATCTAAAATGGTAGGCATTTAAGTTATAAATAGGAGAATATAAGTTCATGTCTTAGACACCATATTTGGACTCATTTTATGGAGTATCTCTTAGTTTAGCAGGTCCCAACTCCCAACGCTGCAAAATTGTAAGGCAATTTCCTACAGTTAACCAATCAAAATTAAAGATAGCGTGCAAAAAATAAATGATAAAATAAAACAAAAACAACAAAATCCAGGTAATCAGGCTAGTAGGAAATGGTTTGAGAAATGAACATTGCAGTATTAACTTATCATTGCATGAGTACCAATACTCGAGTACAAAAATTAAAATATAAAAAACCTGATTAATGATCACCATCTAATAAGCCCAATAAATGCAAGTCTTTATTAGCATTTTCTCAAATCAACAATTTATGTATAAAATGTGAATCTCACATTGCTTTCCATTTTTGTTCCCCTTTTTTCAGCTGTTCACATTATAAGACTCGGTGATTTTTAGGAAGGGAAAACCAAAAGGACTAAAGTTATATAGTGTCATAGACACTTTTCATACTGTGCTAGCTAGACACAAATAATTGTTTTCATCAAACCCATACAACAAAATGGTTTTACTACGCATTTCAGTGATATTATTTTTAACAGTTGCTTTGTATTTTGAATTGAAAACAGTATGAACAGTAGGATATAAATTGTTTCTGAATTTTCTCCAAAAGAAAATCCATTGTTTTAATTTCCACATTTGTAGCTAAGGTGGAGAATATTTTTGGCAGGTAAGATCACTCACACTTGATGTGAAAGTCTGGGACTACTCTGTTTTAAGTATGTTTGAGTCCCTGGGTAATCATTTTGCAAACTCAGTTTGGGAGGAGCTGTTATGTTTAAGTAGTACTTTGCAAAATGTTGACACCCCTGCTAGGTAAGAATTGCTAAACTTGATGGGATTATCTCTTTGAACTTTGAAATTATGCTAATATGCACCTTGCAATGTAGTTCATCCAAGGCAAACAAAGACAAGCTATTTCATGCAAGAAAGCCAAAACACGATGATTCTAGTTCATTAAAGGAAAGGTTCATTCACGCAAAGGTAAACAATGAGAACTTTGTTTCTTTTGCAATACCAGGTTTAGAAAAATGGGGGAAGCTGGAATCCTTCTGATAGGAACCAGATAAACAGAGGTTGATGAAGAAGTGTTGGAAATTAAAATATATTAATTCTTCTTTTCCCAAGTAGCTAAGTGATAGAAACCAACTAATATATTAAAAAAATAGGAAAAATCCTTTTGAATTACAAAATTAATCGCAGAACTTTGAGGGTTCTTCCCTAATGCCAAAATTTCCCCTTTCGAACCAAATTCTAAGATATCCTCTCTCTCAATCACCCCCTCTATTTATAGACAACACTCTCATTCTCCGAATTAATTAATTCATATTCTAACTGCAGTTACATACGACAGTTACTGTAGTTACATATAACAATAATCTTTGATAAAAACTGCCTACTGCTAAATGGACGGTCTCTTAATAATAAAACTGCTTCCTATTAAACTAACAAGACCCTCACTCTCCTAATTAAGGGCTTGTATCTAACAATACTTCCTCCTTTGAAATTCACCTTGTCCTCAAGGTGAACATGGTGGAAAGTGGTCCATATGGGTCCCATTGCAACCTAGTTGAGACATCATTTTGTCGTGGATGTGGGACAGTTTCATCATTATTAGTGCAATAGCTTACGCGTCCACGCTTTTCTTCCTTTGTCTTCTTCCGGTCCTGTCTGTTTCATACTGAGTAGTAACTCAGGGGAAATCTCCAGCGTTGACGGTGGAAACCTTTGTATCAGCGCGGATTTGAAGTCTTCCCATGTTGGATTTTGTGCGCATAATTCCCACCATTGATACCAAGCCTGTGCCTCCAAAGCTGCCTTAACTGCCTGTAACTTTTCTGCATCATTCATTTCCTTCAATTCGAAATAACTCTCAACTCTGTTTGTCCACCCAAATGCGTCTTTGCCATTAGAACCCATGTTCTATTGATTATTCTGAAACTTTTTCCCCAGTGGCAAAGATAAATACAGTCCGAGTTATATCCCTTGCTGCCAATTACGGGTGTGAATTACAACAATTTGATGTGAAAAATGCGTTTTTACTTGAAGCCTGAGGAAGAAATTTATAGAGATTTCCACCAGGATATGGGAAAATGTTGCTGTCAATTTTGTTTGTAAGTTACGGAAGGCTTTATATGGATTGAAACAATCACCTCGGGCATGGTTTGGAATGTTTACTAAGGCTATGACAACCTTAGGTACAAACAGAGTAATGGAGATCATACACTATTTGTTAAACACTCTACTTTAGGGGGAGTAACATTGTTGTTGGTATATGTTGATGACATCATTGTGACTGGAAATGATCGGTTGGAACAACAGGTCTTGACTCAACACTTAACAAAAGAGTTTGAAATGAAAACCCTTGAGAGACAGATGTATTTTTTAGGAATAGGGGTGGCTCACTCAAAAAAGGGTATTTTCTATCTCAACAAAAGTATATCATAGATCTTCTCAGGGAAACAGGTAATCTAGCTTGTAAACCTGTGGGAAGTCCTATAGATCCAAGCCATAAGTTGGATAATGTGGAAGGTGTAGTGGTGGTCCGCATAAGCTAGCTTGTAAACCTGAGTTCCGAGTGATGAATCAAGGTATTTGTGACTTACTTTGGTTGAAGATTGTCTTAGAAAATTTGAAGATTAAATGGGATGGAACTATGAAACTCTATTGTGATGATAAGTCAACAATTAGTATAATTCACTATCCAGTTCAACATGACCGAACACAACACATTGAGGTGGGTAGGCATTTTATCAAAGAGAAGCTTAATCGCGGTTTGCTTTGCGTTCCTTATGCTCCTTCACAAGGCCAACTTGCGGATATCTTCACCAAAGACCTGAGCTACCAAGTTTTTGAAAGAATTGTGTCTAAGCTGGGAATAGAGAATACCTATTCACCAGCTTGAGGGGGGTGTTGAAAATTAAAATATATTAATTCTTCCTTTTCCAAGTGCTAAGGTTCATTGTTTTAAATATCGTTTAGGAGATTGTGTTAGCTTAATTACTTTCTTGTAAATTGCACATGTTCATTTATTACAATTGTAACTACCATGTTCGTAAATTAAATCTAATGTTGAGTGCTAAACATCTAAAGCTCATTCAGCAACATATTGTTTCTGTTTTTCACAAGAAAAAATAGTACTCTGGATATTGAAGAAACTATCTGGGAGAATCATCTCAACTCAACAATATGTTGCTGAAACTGTAAAATTAAGATAATAGCTGAATGATACCATTAAGGGCTGGAACATGAATACAAAATAATAGAAAATAAAAGTTTTAATGATTAATCCTGAACTATTTAATTTTCAAGGTTTATTTTTATCGCTTTAATTCTCTTTAACTTAAAAGCCATTTAGGGTCTCAAGTTGTACCGCATCTCTTTGAGAACTGCTTGATCTCAAATCCCAGCCAAGCCACAATTTACCTACATTTTGGCCCATAAGACCCCTTTCTACAGTGCAAATTTATGTATGAAACCCCAAATGCATTTTTACGATTAAACAATGCTTATAATGAATACTTGGAAACTGTATGTTATTTCTTATTTGAACTCAAGATAGGTTTTCCTTTCTCCAGTTATTAGTTATTTCTAGTATTTAGTAGTATTTTTATTCATGAATGATTACTTGGTGGAAGTATAACATACTGGAGACAGAACTTAATAGTTTATACTTATTGCAGTATGCTGAGAAAATCTTTATTTGCCGGACAGAGAAAAACTCTGCGCAACAGATGTTGAAAAGCATCTGCGCAAATGACAAGAAGGCAGTGTACCAGCACATTGTCAAGTCAGATATGGATATCAATGCCATCAGTAGGCAAGCATTTTCTGGTACGTCTTCTTTTCCCAGTTATCTCAACTCCAGAAAAGTTTGTGTGTTGAAAAGCCAGGAAGTCCTCTTAGAATAATTAGGAACTGTGCAGGCGTCTCTTTCAACGCGGCTTCTTTGATTAATTCAAACATTTCATCTGAATGCGAGAATCAGTTGATTGAGGACATACAAAATGGTTCTAGTGTGCTTCACCTGGCTTGCCTAGCAAGTGATGCTGGTATGGTGGATCTGCTCCTACAGTATGGGGCAGATATAAACAATTGTGATTCAAGAGGCCGGACACCACTACATTACTGTATTACCAGGGGGAAGCCTGCTGCTGCAAAAGTGCTTCTTGTGAGGTATCTCGTATACATTTTCAACCATTGTGATCAAATAATTAATGAACCATTTGCACTGCAAACTAGAGAAAGATGTCTACTTTTAGTGTTATACATGCTAAATATTTAAGTACACGCAGAACTTTGTAAAATTTGAATTATTAACGCATTCTTCCAAATAAACCTTAAGGCTTTTGGGAGTTTAAAGAGAAAGAGAGTAGAGGGCTTTAAAATAAAAGAAGAATGGAGTAATTGAGGGATTTGAAAGGGGGGATTTTGGAGGACTTATTTTTCTATATAAAAAACAGTATTCCCTAATTTGGGAGAATTCAAAAATTGCATTGGAGAGTTTTGAAGAGTTTTAGAGAAAGATAAATTCTTCAAATCCAACATATGTTATAATAATCTAAATATTAAAAATATATTGATAATAAATTTTCATTTAATATTCTATACAAAAGTTTTTTTTTCTAAAAAAGTTAAAAGATTTTATTTATTTTCTCTCAACCCATTGCATTCCAAAATCCTCCTCTCATAATTTGGGTTGGGTCTAACTCAACCCTATTAAACCGGCTTGTAGGGTGAGGATTGCCTCCACATATAAGCACAACACATCCCATATCTCTTTAGCAATGTGGGACTAATTCCACCCCTTCAAACCCAATATAATGAAAGTGTTGTAGGATGCAATGAAGGCTAGTCAAATGCCGCAATTAAGACGATTAGAGGCGGACCACAATGAAGGCGGAAATTCCAACACCTCCCTTTCCCTCCAAATTTCTAAACAAAACCTAAAATTATAAATAAGTGAAACGCTACTTTTTTCTTCAATTCGACATATTGGAATAGTAGAATATTGATAGATTCAGAATAATAGCAAGATAAGGGGAGAACAATAACAATACACATGAATTTAATATTTTATTGTAATTAAACTAAGGATAACTTCCTACAATAGCAATTACAGAAAACATATTAACTGTATAATTAAATACTACCCACTAAAATTATAGAGTGTAGTCTCTCCCAAACCAAACCAACCAATAACAAACCGAATGGGAGACTTTTTCATTCTTTATTTTACTTAAATACATTACACCTAATTATATGAGCCTACCCCTAGCATAAACATTAGTAATTAACAATACTTTCCCCCAAAATTTCACCTTTTCCTTAAGGTGGAATTCAAGAAATTGTTGGTTGATAACTTTAAATGTTCCCTAAGTCGCTTCAAATTCTGGTAAGTCTTTCCATTGAAATAGCAACTTCACCATGCCGACGACATTAATACAGACATTCCTGAGAACTCGAGGTTTATACTCAAAGTTCTAAATCTTGTAACAGGTGGTAATGGTTGAGGTTTTGCGAACGGTGTGACAACTTTCTTCAACACACAAACTTGAAAGATTGAATGAATCCTACTTTCAGCAGAAAGGTCTAATTCATAGGTAGCCAAACTGATGAACTTAGTAATTTGATAAGGGCCATAAAAATGAGGACTATTATCTTCTTTGCCAAATATTTGAGTGTATAAGGCTGCAACAACGAAGGAGACATTTCTCAGGAGTTTATAGGCTTGACTTTTCATCTGGTTTTGGGTAAGATGGAACGAAGGCATGCAAAATAAAGTCTCGTTCTTCAGTCAACCTGTGAACTTCCTCCACTACTGAAGGAACAGTGATATCCTTAACCAAATATGTTGGATCACGACCATATAAATCTTTGAGCGAAGTGGTTTTGGTGAGTTTTTGTAATTGGAGTTAAACAAGAAAACTGACCAACCTAGCCACTTGACCCATTGTCGTGGTTTGTGTTTGATTAAGCATCTCAGATAGGTCTCCAAGCACCTATTTGATACCTCAGTTTGACCATCTGTTTGAGGGTGATAAGTTGTATTAAACTTCAGTTTAGTACTGGCCATTTTGAATAATTTTGTCTTGAAATGACTCAGAAAAATCTAGTTCCTATCAGAAACTATGGTGGAAGGAAAATCATGTAGCCGAACAATTTCTTGCAGGAAGATTTCAGCTACTGATGTAGCAGTAAAAGGATGGCTAAGAGGCAAAAAATGAGTGTATTTATATCGAACCTTTCAATCACCACTACCTTGACTTTTGGGAAGCTCTTCAACATAATCCATTGATATTTCGGCCCAAACTTGAGAGGGGATTGGAAGTAGTTAGAGAAGACCAATAGTTGGTATTTTATTTTGTTGGAAAATTGCACAAGAAGCCACAAAATTTTGAATATCTTTCTGCATCTCTTCCTAATAAACCAAGGCACTTAACCGTTTATAAGTGAGGAAAAATCCCAAATGACAACCTACTCCTAAAGAGCGGCACTCATTTAGTAGCTGGGGGATTTTACAAGAACCCCGAGGTAAGACTTGCTTTCCTTTGTAGAATAGCTTTGGGATTTTAAAGGTATAATTTCGGTGAGTACTTGAATCCCACGTCAAGTTGTGAATAATGCTTTGGAGTTTGAATCAGTCAATGCCTCTACTTTCCATTCTTCCAAATCAGAGTAGTGTATCACATAAACTGCAACATAAGTCTTGCGACGAGATATGGTATTAGTTGCTCTGTTATGACCGATGGGTTTGTGAACAATATCAATCAATAACCAAGTCTTATCCGACTAAATGGGGTTGACTATATAGATCAAACTACGCTATAATGTTTTATTAAAAATCATGTTTTTATCCAACTCGTTAATCTCAAGATCTTAATAATTTTTCTTATGGATTTTTTAGGTCTTCTCCCACCTCTAATTGTTTGCGTACTTCCCGTCGGATCTACTCTCCTTACACAGAAATTCATAAGCCTTCTCTCTACAAGTCCAAACCAACTAAGGTTATTTTCCACCATCTTTTTTACTGTGGGTGTTATGTCAACTCTCTAATATTATCATTTTTAATCTTATCTCATTTAGTTTTACCATACATCCAACACAACATCCTCATCTCTGCTACACTTATTTTATTTTCGTGTGATTCTTTATCACTCAACATTCCTCCCCGTATAACATAGCTGGTCTAACAATTGTCCAATAAAATTTTTCCTTCAGTTTGAATGGTACTTTTTTGTCGCATAAACTGAGACCCTTATCCATTTCAACCACTCAACTTGAATTCAGTAGTTTACGTCTCCATCGTTTTGAACTATGGATCCAAGATATAATATTTAAAATGTGTAATTTGTGGTATGATATGATCCCGTCTTAATTATGCGTAGACTTTTATTCTTCTTCAAGCCTCGTCTCCAACCTCGCATTTAACTCCTCCGTAGACTCTTCTAGTAGAATTATATCATCTGCAAAAACTAGACATCTCGGTGCTAGCTCTTAGATGTATCCCGTAAGTATATCTAAAACTAAAGTAAAATGGTAGGAGCTTAGGGTTGAACCTTGGTGCAATCCTATTATGGGAAAATTGTTCGTCTCTCCACCCTGTGTCCTCACTCTAGTTGAGACACCTCATACATATCTTGGATAGCTCGAATATACACAATCATATCCCATTTTTCCAGGGGCTTTCACATACGCCTTCTCCAAGTTAATGAAAAATAAGTGGAGTTTTTGTTGATCAATTTGATACATTTCCATCACACGTCATAGTAGATATATCACTTTCATGGCTGACCTTCTAGACAAAAAACCAAATTGATTTTTACTAACTTGAGTCTCTTTTCTTAATCTCTGTTCAAACACTCTTTTCCATAATTTCATGGTATGACACATAAGTTTAATCCTCTATAATTTGCACAATTTTGTATATCTCCTTGTTCTTATAGATCAGAATTAAAGTGCTTCTTCTCATACGACATTTTCTTTGACTTTATTATTTTGTTAAACAATTTTGTAAGCCACTCAATATCTCTATCTCTAAGAATTTTTTACACTTCAATAGATATGTTGTCTTTCCCATCTCGCCTTGCTATTACTCATCCTCTTCAAAGCTCCATTTACCTCATGTTTTTGAATCATCCGATAGTAGTTATAGTTTCATTCCTCTTCTCTAAAATGTAAATAAAATGTAAAAATACTTCTTCTATCTATCTTTTATATCTTTTTTTTTAAACAAGACTTTGTTTGCTTTATCTTTAATACACTTCACTTGATATAAGTATCTTGTCTTTCTTTCTCTTCCTTTAACAAGCCTATATATAGATTTTTCTCCCTCATTAGTTCTTCAATGATTGGTATAATTTGTCAAAAGTTTGAGTTCTTGCTTCAGTCACTGCCTTCTTGTTCTCTTTCTCTTGTAATTCTTCCACGTTTCGTCATTCATACACCTAGACCAATCTTTAAAACACTGCTTGTTACTCTAAGTTTACTTTGAACGCGTTCATTCCACCATCACGATTCTTTATGTCTAGATGCAAAACCTCTTGATTTTCCTAATATCTCTTTTGCTATTTTTCTAATCTCTTGTGTCACGTTTTCCCACATTTCACTTTCATTTTCTATGGCTCCTTGAAACCTCTTTCAAATATCTTGTGTTGAAAAATGTTGAAAAATCTTGTTTTCATCCTTCAAATTGCACCACTTGATCTATAGAAACTCCATGTGGCTTCTTCTCTTTGCTTTCCTCTTGACTCTTAAGTCCATAACCATACTTTACGTCATTAGTCAAGCTCTCTCTCTCAATATAACTTTACAATCCAACGAATCTTCCTATCTAAATCTAATAAGAAAAAAAAAAAAACTATCTTAAAATATGTAAACCCCCATTCTTGAATGTGATAAAACGCTCATCTTTTTTCCTAAAGCATGTATAAGATATTGTAAAATCAGAAGTTAACAAAAAGTCTTGAATGAATTTATCCTCAACATTTATCTCTCCATGACCATACCACCTTGCACTCCTTCGAATGCTCTCAATATGCTTCCTACCTGCCCATTAAGATCCCTTCTTAGGAAAGTCTTTTCTCCTTGAGGTATATCATGAACTAAGCCTTCTATTTTGCCTTTTGACTCGTCAGCTTATTTTCTTATATGCACATAAAATTGATTTTTCTCCT